GTAAAAAAAAATAAAATAGAATGATAAGGTAGAAAAAGGATGGTACAGCAATGCAAAAGTGGATAAATAAAAATGTTATAATGGGAAATGGAAAAATGACAAGTGGGAAAATGAAAATGAAAATGGTAATTATGGAACATTTTCAAATGACAAGTGGGAAAATAAAAAGGGAAATTAAGAAATGATGGTAATTGAACTTAGTGGAGTGCAATAGAACTCTTTGCCTTCGTTGTTTGTTGCTTGGTGTGTTGTGATAGGGTTACCATGGTTACTGCTGGCATTTGTAGCCAGGCCCCTCTCTTACTAATCCGAAATTTGTCTGATTGATGAGTTTAACTTTCTTTTAGTTTCCTGGTGTTACCAAAATATTCCGAATGAAGAGGCTTTGCAATTTTCTAATACAGGGTTCRTGCTGAGGTAACGCTGGCTAACTATTCAAGGAGTATACAAAGACCCAAAAATGAATTTTCAAGGAGTATGTTCAGCTAACTGTGCCAAGGTTTTACATGGTGGTTGTGCATGGTCGACTTTCAGATTTTCCAATTTTTCTGACTAGATCTATTTCAGAACCATGCAAGTAATGATCGAAGCAAAAATTCAAGGAGTTTTCAAGGAGTTTTCAAGGGTTTTGCTAAAATCGTAAAATTGAAGAGCTTTTCAAGTGCCCTTGAAAACGTGAATTAAATTCAAGGAGTTTTCAAGGAGTTTAAGGAGTAGCACRAACCCTGATAATAGTCCACTTTAAGCTTCATTGTTTGTTGTGCACATTTCAGACCATGTGATGTCACTTTTGGAAGTTGATTCTTTCATGTAAGTATTTTAACATGTTCGTCATAAAAGAACAATTCTCAAGGGAATGTAACGTGGTCTGAAATGGGTAATTTGCATACGAAGCTAAAGAGGTCTATTTGCTCTAAAATCAAACAGATAAAAATGGCAGAATTCCTGAATAAATCAAATTGCTGAGAGCCAATCAGATTGCAGAATCACCAGTGATTTCAAAATGGATATAATGAAAAATTACCTTATTGAAAGAAGAATAAATTTATCAACTTTAYATAATACCCAATTTCGTTGCACAAACATTTCTGATTTTTCACTCAACTTATTTTCGCATAATAATTTTTAGTAAAAATAMACAGGTGATTATTGAAAATCTCGTGCGCTGATTGGTCAAGAAACTCACACTATCACACAATAATCACCTCGCTTTGTTGTTGTTACCGGAAAAAATGCCTTTAYGTTCTTTTATTTCTTTTTTTGAAAGAATCACCTGTGTATTTATACTAAAACAATTATTTGCCTCAGCCTCAGTGATTATCGGTGAATAATAAATGATAATTAATGATATTTACAAAATGAATTAGAGTACAAACACTAAAAGTGTGCAACATAAATATCACTAAATAGTGTTGTTTTATGCTAACTATATTATATTTTCTTTTGTTTTGTTTGATTAGTGCTATTTACTGCTAAATAGTGATTACAATTGMACACATTTAGTGTTTGTACTCTACTATTTTTATTCATTATTTTAAATAAATATGCAGTCAAACCTCTTAAATTTCTGTTTCTTCTTTGCAGAATCAAACTTCATATCAGGAGAATATGGAGCGTCTTGGTTTGTGCTTGACGAGTGGTGTTGTACTTGTTTCAACCATTCACTCCCAGTTTTGGGTGTTCTCTCTGGAATGGCTGAACGTGTGGGTGTAAGAGTTGGTGTTGGTGTTGGTGTTTCTATATCAAGGTCTTCAGTTTCCTTTAAAACAAGATGAAGGTGAAGCTAACTTTATATTCATCAAAGTTCCAATTATAAATGTAAATTTATGCTTCACTGTCCTAAAATTGATCATAGTAGTTTCAAAACCCTTGGCCCCTAAATCTACATCTAGACCCACTATTCCCTAGTCAGTCTGTCTGTCCCTCCATCTAACAGTCAGTCAGTCTGTCTGTCTGTCCCTCCATCTGTCAGTTAGCCAGTCTGTCTGTCTGTCCCTCCATCTGTCAGTTAGCCAGTCTGTCTGTCTGTCACTCCATCTGTCAGTCAGCCAGTTTGTCTGTCTGTACCTCCATCTGTCAGTCAGCCAGTCTGTCTGTCTATCCCTCCATCCGTCAGTCAGTCAGTCTGTCTGTCTGTCCCTCCATCTGTCAGTCAGTCTGTCTGTCTGTCTGTCCCTCCATCTGGCAGTCAGTCTGTCTGTCTGTCTGTCCCTCCATCTGTTAGTCAGTCAGTCTGTCTGTCTGTCTGTACCTCCATCTGTCAGTCAGCCAGTCAAACGACAGATAGCTTAGTTGAATGTGTGGATTTAACAGTAAGTGAATAAATGTGTGAACTGTGGATAGAAGGGGAAGAAATATTGAATGAACAAATGAATGAATAAAGCAAGCAAGCAAAGAAGCAAGCAAGCAAGCAAGCAAGCAAGCAAGCAAG